ATTAGGAGGGAAGTCAGGCACTTTTAAATTGTCTCCGGAAAATATTAAACAGTTGCAGAGTGCTTCAGAGAAGCCTTTGATTTTGCATCAGCTGACTGGGAATCTGGTTTGTAATGTATATCTCCCCTTTCATCCTCCTCTCTAATTGAAAATGCCAGAGAAAAGCAGCTTATCCTATGGGAGGACCTGCATTTGTTTGATAAGTCCCTGACATTGATTTTCTCTGGTTCTGACTAATAAAAACATGAAGTGTGGTTGTATCTATCTTCTGAAACATTCATGGACTGAATATGCAACATCAGAACATTAAAACGTATTTTTGTTGGCCTTTTCATTTAAAAATGGATTACCTAAAACTTACCTGAGAAGAATATTTTCAGTTTCACCAGTCACTTGTGTGCTCTGTTCTCTCAAATACTCTCATGTCTTCTTAACAAAATACCTATTTATTTTTATTTATTCAATCATTATTTACATTTTTTGAAAGCCAGTAACTATGCTGGAGTGCACAGGTAACATAGAACAAAATCAGAAACGGTGTCTTTCCTCTTGAATGAGATAATTCAGTGGGAGATCAAGTGATAGACTATTCCATGAGCAAACACAACATTGGGTCTGCAACTGGACACCTGGACAGGAAAGAACTGTGGACGAGAGGGGTCCACCTACCAAGAAGTTCATAAGGGAGTCTCCAAATACCTGAACCTGGAAGTGTGGAGATTCAGGGAAGGTAACAGTTAAGTAAGCGTGTGTATTCGGAGGAGGGTAGTATTTTAGACATGAGGAACATTTGATTGCAAATATGCATTTTTAATCTCAGGTTAAGCATATTTAATCTCAGGTTAATCTCAGGCTGAATGGCCTTGGGAAAGTTTTCACATTATACCTGGAGTCTAAGCATAACTCTATGGCTTGCTTTAGAGACTAAATGTAAGCCAGCATCATCGCTAGTTCTGCTTTCCTTCTTGGTCATTTATGTAGTATTTATTTATTTAGTACGCATGTGCAGTGTATAATGTCTACATTCCTTGCTGGGGTTGGTACATGTACATAATACATCTTGATGCCTTTTACCTTACCTTTTCTTTTTCCTTCCTCTCCTCTCCTTCCATCTCCTGGTCCTCTTTCCATTTGCCTTCTTTTTATATCTTTTTCTGGTGAATTTTGTAAACACGAGTCAGTCTCTTCCTCTATCTCCTAAGAAAAAGGGGTTGAGAAATCAGGACTGTGGCCTCGTGCCGTAGGTAGTTGAGCAAAGCTCTCGGTGGTCTGGATATGTTTTGTTCTCTTCACTGGCTGTCACTGTTGGCTTATTTCAAATACTGCTGTGGTTCAGGACCTGCTGCCCCCACATATGTACCTTGGCATTTGAGAAAACAGCAGGACTAGGAAACTCACCCTTTTATCTTCTTCCCTGAGGAGAACATTGAGATGTTCATTCCTGAGGTGACTTCCCTATCGATGGAGCACAGGGCACCATTACCTCTGAATACATGGAGAAGAACACAGACACACAGGCCTTGCTCTTTCTCCCTCTCTTATTATTATCCCATCCCTCCTCTTCCTGCAATCACTCTTTTCCATAACTACTCACTTCTGTATCAGAAATAGCATAAAGAGTACACAGATTTCCCTCACACTTTGGGTCTTCATTTTCTTATCAATGCTCTTATGTCATTTAAGACATATTAGTAAATAAATGTGCATGCTTTCATCTTGTTAATCTGCCTTCTGTTACAGGAGCCTCTGCTCTGAGCCTTGTGATAAGTAAGAAATCCTTTTGTGTCCTACAGAGCTTTAGTGTGTTGAACCCAGTTAGCTTATTTTGATTATTGCTTTGGTTATTGACATTTAGAGATTTAAGGTGATGGTAGATTTATGATATTAATAACTACACTCTCCATGGATCTCTCTTAGCCAGGCAGACATATGACTTTGCAGCTTTTCTTCCCGAAAAGGCAGTCTATTTTCCAATCCCCTGAATGCAAGCTGCACTCCAAATTGCTTTGGTAAAAGAGATGTTAGTTATCACACAGGGCACAATAAGAGCTGAACAAAAAATAAAAAGCACAGCAAAACAAAACAATACAAAACAAAAAATCTCCTGTCTGTGTTTGGTTGTTTTTTGCTTCTCTGACATTGCCAAGAGAACATGCCCAGGCTGGTCTGCAGGAAAAAAAGTCAAGTGGAGCAAGGCCAAATGTTCCCAGTTGTCCCGGCTGGTGTCATCCTCATCAGCAACAGCTGGGCGAGTCCCAGAGGAGCAGGGAACTCAGGGAGCAGCAGGTCTGTCTAGCCAAGTGCCCCGAGCCCACAAAATCACTGGCCTGGAGACTTAGGAGCAAAACACATGCTTACTCTCTAAAGCTGCTGAATTTTCTGTGATTTGTTATGTGGCATTATTGTTGCAATAGAAAACAGTTAAAAGGGTTAATTCTTACTTGTAACATTATATTTTTCATTAATGTTTTCAGTGATCCACACTTGATTTTTCAATGCAAACCAAGAAAGACACTCATATAACAGTTGCTTAACTATCAGTAACTTTTCAGAAGACACTTTCTGTTCTATAAAGTGGTATACCTGTGGTCAGACATTGAAGAATTTTTTTCATAAATGTAAGAAAGAATATAGTCAGTTTGCCTTCATGTATTCCGTACTGATTTATGAGGAAACTCAGATTGCCGTATGATTATGTTTTAGAAGTGGGAATGCTGCATGGAGATAGCATGACTAAGTGCTTTATTATGAGAGGTGCACAAAACGATGCTGATCTGAAATTTTATTGAGTATGAAGGCACGTTAGTTTTATTAGTTGTCAAGAAAGTTTCTCATATTCCTACTCTTTAGCGCCTACTCTCCTAGGCATGGAAATGGGGCTTCAGTGCCAAGTTTGACAGCTGATTCTGCATAAACACTTAATCCCAGTTCTTGGACGGAAGTGACTCAAAAAGCCAACAAATGGAAATGCCTCCTGTTATATAAGCCAGGGTATTATATGCAACCAGCAAAGTTAGAGTTATATATTACTTATATCCTAGTTTATTTTCAATAAACTTGTGAGGTCACTAAGGGAAGCTTAGGTTTAATTTAACTTGTTTTTCTCAGCTACTCACATGTATCTGGCCTTCTTGCCAGAAGTCTGCGAAGGTGGGGAAATTGCCTGAACAGGGAAGTACTCTGGCCTTGGGAGCAAAGGTACAAGAATGGGGGGAAGAGGAAGGAGCCATGGGGCGTATGAGCAGCCCTGGCTGTTCTCTGCCTGTTTATAGTGACATTGTCATGCTATGCAGGTCATGGGGACTAACTATGTCAAGGAGGTGTGTCCGTTAGGAGAGGGTCCCTTGTACCCAGCACCATCTTGCCTATAACTTACAGCTGTTCACAGTGTCTTCAGTTAGTCAAATGTTCACTGTCTTCTTTACGTCAGGAATATTCATACAGTGGAATATTACACAACACTTACTTTGGAATAAATTTTAATGGCTTGAAAAATATTTTATTTTATAGATGAAAGAAGCTGACTTTAAAACTGTGTATTTGGTGTCCTCAAAATTATACTGTGTGGTTGTTTAGTTACTTGTCCTGTGGGAAAAAAAGGAAAGGAAGTATGGTAGTTCTCTGCATGTAGTGACTTCATGATTCTTTTATTAATGTCTTTCATTTTTTTTATTTCACAATTTTAAAATGATTGTGACTTCTAACTGTAAAAAGTAATGTAGAATTAAAATATACTGAATGAGGAATACTTTGGGATTAAGGAATATGCCTATTTATTTTTAATTCCTAAGACTCTAGCATGGGTATTTGTTGGGAAAAATAATTAAAATTACATTTGATGAAAGCAAAGGAGACTCAAAGGAGGATTCAGTAATCTGAAGAGGCCTCGATAAAAACACAAAACACCAAAGTTCTCTTAAGATGCAGCTGTAAGAAAGCACATGAATTTTTTGACTGTTTCCATCATTCTTTTCTTAAATTAAATAGAAGGTATCTAGAATCTAGAAATATTTTTTCATCAGATAGTTGTTTATCTTTCTGCTTTTTTTGGGATTGTTTTCCTATTGTTTAATGATTTTATAATTTGTGTACATAGCATCTTCCTCTATTAACACTGCCCTAACGGCTGCACAACATATGAGAGATTCTGAATTATAAAGAAAACACAGGAAGCTTTCATTTCTATTTTAACGAAAATCCTTCTCCTCCAGGAAGTCTTCCCTGACCACCATAACCACCATTCTTCTTGACTAATAATTGTCTTTCAGCCCAACCCTGGGCCAAAATCATTGTTTCTTCCAATTACTCATCTGGGGGTGGCTCCTGCAGACAGGAATGCACAGGTGCAGAATTTTTCTATCAATGACAGCTGAACGGTGGATTAACAAGCCTGCAGTTGCTTCTTGAGTCGGGAGCCCGCGCTTTAAGCTCTTTGCAGGTGTTGGTCTCCCGTCATTTTCTCTACAGGCACAGAAAGCAGGCAACTCTTCTCCTTCCCATTTTACAGAGGGGAAAGTAAGTGGAGAGATAGAGGAACTTGCCAAGTCACACAGTCACACAAGTAGAACCTTGTGTCAAAATTCCTGCACTTAACCGCAGTCTGATAGAGCCTTTTTAATAATATTAGGAAGCGCTTAGTTAATATGTTCCCCAAATCATCTTAGATTATCACTGGAGAAAAGTCATAATATTTCTAAGAAGTTGGATAGGATTGTTTGAAAGAATAATCCTACCCAAAATAAATCCTGAGTTAATGAAATTTTAGTTACTCTTTTGAATCACTTAAGAGAATATGGAAATCCATGTCTTCAAGATACATATATCAGTATGTACACCTTAAGAGACCTTGCACTGGAGGGAAGAGTAATCATTTCTACTCTCTGCTTAATTCTGCATTTGCTCAGGCTCTTATTTTGCATATGCAGAATATTTTAATGCTTTTTTAAAAAAGTATAAACAGCAGGGGCAACCTCTAGCTGTTTAAAGCAGAAGATAAGTGAATGGCATGTGAGGACTTTGAAACAATTCATTGAGCAGAGAATTTCTCACCCCAATTTCTGCAGCTGCTGAGCTGCCAGTTCTGTGGAAGACTGCCCCGTAGGAGCCAAGTGACACTCTGAGGACCAGAACCTGGTGGGAAGGTAGGTTTCTATTCTTCCTTCCAGCTTTGCCCAACTCAGGTGTGTGCTCTGGACCTAATCATTTTCCTTCTCTCTTAAATTTTCTTTTCAGTCATTCTGGAGAACTAATAACTGGCCTTTCCCTGGAAAGTATTTAGCAACCTTTCTCTGGAAGGTGTTGGCTGTCCCGTTGTTATTAGTACTGGGGTATCACCGTTACAGGCCAGCCCTGGCTTGCAAAGGAAAAAGCCAGCCGACCTCGCCTGACGTTATTGTAACCCTACGAGCCGGTCAGCTTGCTTTTATATCTGACCCCAGTGGCCTCCTGCTACCCGATGAAACTCAGTCTTTTGACAGCTGGCCCAGGGTCATTTGGTTCAGTGCTGAAGTGGGCCCGGCGGACAGAACACTTGGAGGCCTCTGAATGATCCAGCTGGGGTAGGTCCAGGTCCCTTTTGTGCCAAATGGAAAATGAGCTCTGTGTCCATTCTGGGGAAGTGCAGCATGGGGGAGCAGAGAGCTCTGTTCTTCTCCTTTTCCCTAAATTCGTATGGCGACTGCGCTGTATATTTCTATTCTTTATTACCTACCGCTAACCACGGTAAGCCTGTCCAGAGCCCATGTACTTTGCCTCTTGGTTTTGAACCCTTCAGCTACGACAGAAACTTTATATTTTTTGTGTCTGCTTGGCTGAAATCTCCTCCGGGAGAGAAGACTGTAACCGCCTTTTGGGTGATTTCACCTGTACCAGTTCTTGCCCCATTCATTGGAAGGTTCTGATAGGAGCTGAAGAAACAAACCTGCTTCCTGGGCTCCATCCACATCAGAAGAGAGTTCAGTGGCAGCAGTCTGTTTATCATCTCTGGGGCCCGGTTCTGTTTTCTTTTTCCTGTAGACTGAAGTGGATGTAGAGCAGCACACAATAGCAGGATAACGCTGTAATCCTCTCGGTCCCACACGTGGTGCTCACTAGTGAGCCTCCAGTACCTAGGGAGGCGCTTCTGTAAACAGAGGGTCCCCCAGGCCACGCCTTCTCCTGGGGAATTAAAAACAAATGTATACACAAGAATATTCTTGAAGATTAAGTTATTTGAAAGGCATTTTATTTTATAATCATGGAAATACATCTGCTCTTGTTTTGCAGGCTGGTAACCAGATCTGTAACAGCCAGTAAATAATCTGCTTTCCTTTCTTGCTTGCTGCTTCGCCCGTCTCCCTCAGCCTCGGCTCTTTGATGCATACGATGGGATGGCGGGGTAATCAGGCTCTGAAAATCTTCAGTTAGCGAGGGTCATTTTTCATTTATTGTTCTTCTGGCACTTTGACTTTTCCTGACTTTACATGGTTAAGGAAAGGGTGGGGGGAGGTTGATGAGAAGGTCAATCTATTGTGTGGCCTCTGGATTCTGTGTATTTGCCCTTCCAAAGTCTGTTTACACGTTGGATCACTTGACACGCTGCACATTCTTCTATAAAATCTGGCTTTGAGAAGCAGTCTCTGGGCACTGGGCACATCAAATAATCTGAAGGTTTTGAAGGGTTGAAGCAATCAAGGGAAATTAAAAAAAGGAAAAGACATCTACCAATAGCTTCTTTAATAGTGAGAATCATCTAAAATGACTAATTCTGTAGTTTTTCTTTAAAATAGACTGATTGTTATGCATAATATTGGAAATATTCTTCCTTTATAGTAATAGACTTCTTTGGGATATGTCCATTTCTGGCTTATGGATTACAATAGACAATATAATGCTAAATTCTGCCTTTATTTGAATGAATAATGAAATGTTACTATGGACCAGTAGGATGATCTGACCTATTATTGAAACTTCAGTTGAATTCTGTTTAAAGCGTTTAGAAAGAAAGAGAATTGAAGAACATATAAATATATTTAATATATTGTAACTAGAGACAGAATTAGTTATTCATAAGACATCTGCTCATTTGCAGATTTGAAAGTTAGGATTAATATATAGGTCACTTCTTATCATCAAATACTATCAGTTCATCTCAGGTATTAGTATTTGAAACTATTCATTTTATTCATCTAAAACTACAGCATGTGTGAAATTCAAACATAATGAAATTTTTTTTCTATTAAATGTGCAGATATTTAAAAAAGCTTATGGTGATAAAATCATGCTGACTTTAAAAGTACTAATTACAGATAGCCAGAGATTTCTAGGCAAAATATCACAGACAAGGAAGAGAGTTACTGTTTCCAAAGCACACTTCTTTTAATCACTTAGCCATATACTTCTTTGTAAAATACCTCATTGTTATATAATGCATTGTAAAGTAATTCATAATTTGTAAAATAATCAAATATTTCAAAAATTACTAAGCAATCTAAGGGATCCAGAGTCAGTAAGTCACTAGGAATTTTTTCTTTCATGCTAGTTTCTGGCTGTCGTTGGTGTTTTTCTGCATGATCTCATCAGTGGCTTATCTTCCAGATTTGCTTCCCTCTTGAACTGGAACTCTACGAAACAAAAGGACTTTTGTCCATTGAACCACGAGCTTTATGGTTGATATTCATTCAGACAGCAATGTACACAGGTCTTCACTGAAGTTTTATTTTTATTTTTATTTTTGGTAGGTACTGAGAATCAAACTCAGGACCTGCTTGCCAGGCAGGTGCTGTACTTCTGAGCTATATCCCCAACCCTTGAAGTGTTTGTCATTTTTATCATCTTTTTATGTGTTACATTCGGATTATTTTACAGTTTACAACACTACATTTCTGAAAAGGCAATATTCTCCTTTACCTTTAATTAATAAGTTCGGTTCTTTATATAATGCTTTGTGTTCTACTTTTCTTCCTACTTTGCCATTCATTGATAAACTTGGAAATGAGCATTCTCTTTCTTTGCACTTGAACCTACCTTCAAAGTCACCTAAGTGTATTTGATTGGACTCATAAATTTGACTAGAATAGATACGTGCACACTGAAAGATTGAATTGCGTGATTAATTTTCAGTTTAAAACTGTACTGGAATAATTATATACTTTGTATTCTACAAAGTAGAAGAATGTATGAGATTGTAATGAATATGGTATAGCTTCTAAGTACATTTTACTACAATATGTAGTATCTCATATTCAGATCTTAGCCATGGTATTTAGAGAAACAACTCTAATATTGGGGTACAGAAGGGAGTATGATGGAATATTACAGTCTTTGGGAACGGGATTTGCATTGGGGTTGAATTTCACAGAATGTTCTTGTGTAATGAGTATTGATCCATAGGTTAAATAAGTCACTAAGGAATTGTAGAGGAGAAACTGATAGGCTTCAGGCCGTTGACTTGAAGTACTTTTAACAGGCTGGTCAACTGAAGTGAATGCAGAGATCTCCTTCCTCCTCTAGGTCTGTTTTCTTGAGGTAATGTGCAAAGAGGCTCTGTGTGGGCACATGTGCATGCATGAGTATTTGAGCATGAGGGTGAAGGAAGTTTGCACAGAGAGCAGTTCTGTCATCCACTCCACAGGGGATGGTAGCAGTTTTAAGAAACTGGAGGCAGGGTAGAATTTGTTTCAGCTCCGGTCCTCAGACACAAAACTGACCTTGCTCATCTGAGAGCTTCTTTAAAAATACCCACAATGCTTATGGAAACCACAACATTCTGGTCTCAGAGATACTTGTATCACTTGGATATGAATGTCAGCATTTCATTTTCTCACATTCTTAAGAAACTTAGGACTTCTGGAAACAATTTTTAAAAAAAAAATTTACAATGAAAACAAGGATAATGGTTACACAAGTAGCTAAAACCTTTTGTAGGTGACTTACCTTCATTGGAATTAAAGGAGTATCATCACACAGTTTCTTTTTTATTTTAAATGAGAAAGGATGTCTACGGAAGCCCTTCAGTTAAATAACATCAGCAGAAAATTGTTTCATGTGACAATTAGAACCAATGGGTATTTTAAACACTGAAATAAAAATGTATGAAATAAAAGCTTGCCATTCTAGCACTGTTGACTGGGAGATGTTTGAGAAGTCCTTTAATACTCCCATGGTTGGAGAAAGGCTAATTCTCATGGTTATATATGATATAACTTTGGGAAAAGTGTCTAAGCACTGTTTCATTTACACTGTATTTTTGTCACTGGTGACTTGGTAACTATAAATAAGGTAAAGCTTATCTGTAATTCTAATTTATCAGTAACTGAGAAATCCAATTTCAGAAAATCATCTGGGAGCTTGTCATGTTATGGCGGATCATTCACAGGATTTCCTGTCCCTATGCTCTCACGATGGAACCATCTTTGGTACGACTGGATTTCACGCATGCCGCTTATTGCGATTAAAAAGATGATTTCTCTTGGCTAACAGGTATAGATCCTTATATTTCTAACTTTTTGAATGCTGACAAGGCAATCACTTTCTGTCTGGAAGAAATCCCTGAAGTGCAAAGAGATGCAACCCAACAGTCCAGTGGCTCTATAGAGTGACGGAGACTGATCTGAAAGTACTGATCTCATACTGTTGAGAAAACCAAAAACCATTGCATATATTAGACAAAATCCGGTGTTTCAGCATATGTCTAATGAGAGTCTGGTTTCTCAAATGCAGTTGAAGAAATGATACATAGAGTATAGAATCAGTATGGCATAGTGTTTAGAAGAAGGAGCTGCACAGAAAATGTGCTTCCTAACTTTGCCCTGTGCCCTATTGATTCTTGGTCCGATTCAGTAAGGCACTGATTCAGTCTGCACATGCATGGGTTAAAAGTATTCAAGGTGGATTAGAGGAACTTCCAAAAAAAAATTACTATTACAGCTGTAAGATGAACATTCCAGAGCTCACACAGGACTGGGAATTTTTGTTCTTCCTCAGACTAAAGCCTGAATGAAAAGACTGTCTTTAACACCTCCTGTGTATAAGTGAAGTTAACTTAGCACTGTAATGAAACCATTCAAGTATAATCCCCGGAAGTTTAAAAACTATATAAAATGGATCAAGCCAGCCCTCAGTTAATTCAATTATCTGCAAAAGTGTCTCACTTTGTTTAAAGAAATATAACAAAATCCATCACTTAAAGAATTTTAAATGAATAGCTTCTGATAAATCAATACACAATAGCATCAAGTAGTATAAGCTGTAGAAAATCAGTCAGGAAAAACAGATTGAAAAGTAACAGAAGGTAAGAAATAAAGAGAAAAGTTCATTATAATATCTATTATAAATATGCTTTAAAAGCATATAATGTAAGAGAAATATAAACATAATGAGCAGACAAATGGTTGAGATAAAAATAATGCAAGTGTAACTTCTACAGATGAAAAGGATAATATTTGACATGAAATATACACTGGATGGAAATGAGAACAGATTGCACTAATAGGAAAAGCAATAAAATTGAGAGCAAAATAAGACAAATCAAAAATAAAACATGGAGAATTAAAAACCAAAAATCATTGCATATGTTGGG